GTTGAGTTATTTAATTAAAGATGTTATGATGATGGTTCATCCGATGTTTTAAAAGTGTTATATATCCACGATGAATGCAATGAATTTTGATAGAAGAATTTGTGGCATCCTGATTCGTTTGCATGAATGATTTTTATAACTCTATTCAATTATATAATTTGTCGAGGTAGATTTGGGGTGTTACAGATAATATCATTGATGATGAAGATGATGTAGAATATATTGGTATGAATGTGCCTAATTATGTAGTTAGTAATGACCAAGTTGGAGTAAGTGAGCCTAATTATGAACATGTTGATGACCAATCTATTGTGAGTGAGGCTAACTATGAAGATGTTAATGACCAACCTGCTGTGAATGATCTTGACTATGAAGATGTTAATGACCAACCTGCTGTGAATGAGCTTAATTGTGAAGATGAGCTTAATGAAGATAATGAAACTTGTGATGATAGTGAAGAATGAGAGGAGATGGATTGAACCAAATTTCTACCTCTTGAGACATCAGGTCAGATTTCTAGTGGAATCAATTTGCAACATGAAGATATAGATGATGTAGATGAGGATCATTTATACACACCCACTAGAAGTGATGATGACGAAGATGTAGAAAATTTTCCAACATATAAGAGTGGTGAGGGTTGTGCTTTCAAATTAGGAATGATGTTTACAAACCAGGAAACAATAAGAGATGTAATCAAAGAATATGGAATGGAAAATCAAAAAATGTGTTCATTAAGAATAATGATGCTAAGAGGATTGTAGTTAGGTGTATGGATGGTTGTAAGTTTTACTTAAGGATCGGTAAGAGGACTGGGAAACAATATTGGCAAAGTGTTAGTTATGAGAGTGAGCATACATGTTATAGAACTGCGGATAATAGGAATGCAAAGACACATTGACTTGCTAATAGGTTTGCACATGTGCTAAGATGCAATTCTTATATAAAGCCAGCTGGTCTAGTGGTTGAAGCACTTCAGAGGTGGGGAGTGAAGATATCATCAGATCAATCATATAGGGAAAAAATGAGGGCATTGGATCTTATTCAAATAACTTCAGTAAGATCCAATGCCCTACTTTTTCCCTATATGATTTACATAACTACTCAATTTAGTCATTTGAGTAGTTATGCGGAGGAATTACCGAAGTCAAATCCCAAGAGTATTGTGGTTATACAATATGTAGAAACAATGGAAGTCATGCATTTGGGAAAACAATTCCCTCCTTTTACGTTGACGTAGGCGCTACTTCTACCCACTTGGTAAAGTAGTCGATGGCCACCAATATAAAGCGGTGTCTGTTGGATGCTTTCTGCTCGATCATGCCAATCATATCAATTCCCCATATTGAGAATGGCCAAGGGGAGCTCATGACGCTCAGAGGAGTCGGTGGTACATTTATCTTGTCAGCATAGATCTGACATTTATGACACGTCTTCGTATAGTAATAACAATCAGCTTCCATTGTTAACCAGTAATACCCTGCTCGCATAATCTTTCTAGCCATGGCGTGCCCATTTGTATGAGTTCCAAAAGTACCCTCGTGGATTTCTCTCATGAGCGTATCTGCTTCTTGCTTTTCCACACATTTGAGTAGTACCATGTCGTAGTTTCTTTTGTATACCACTCCATTACTCAAAAAGAATTTTGAAGCTAACCTTCACAAGGATCACTTGTCAATCATAGAGGCATTTTCTGGATATTCCTACCTTTCCAGGTACTTCTTGATGTCGTAAAACCAAAGCTTATTGTCAGGTCCTTCCTCAATAGCAAGTCAGTGTGCAGGCTCTTCGAAATGTCTGATCGTAATACGTGGTTCGTGATTCGGTCAAGTCACTTTAAACATAGCTGATAGATTTTCCAGGGCGTCTGCCATTTGATTTTCTTCTCGTGGGATATGACTAAAAGTGATCTCTGTAAATTTTGCGGCTAACTTTAAAACATGATCCCGATATGGAATCAGTTTAGGGTGTTTAGTATCACATTCGTCGTTAACCTGATATATGACTAGTGCAGAATCCCCAAATATTTCGAGGTGCTTTATTCTTAAATCGATGGCAGCTTCCAGTCCTAGTATACAAGCTTCGTACTCAGCGATGTTGTTGGTGCAGTCAAAACACAACCTTGCAGTGTAGGGTTTGTGATAATTCTTTGGAGATGTCAATAATGCCCCTACACCGTGACCTAGTGCATTTGAAGCCCCGTCGAACATGAGTGCCCGACGTGCCCCTGGCTCGGGCCCTTCGCCAGGCCCGAGTATTTCGTAGTCATCTACAAATATGACATCCTCGTCGGGAAAGTCGAACTTCATATGCTGATATTGTTATAGCGGTTGGTGAGCCAGATGATCAGCTAGTATACTATCTTTGATGGCCTTCTGTGTGACATATTGGATGTCATATTCTGATAGTAGCATCTGCCTTTGTGCGATTCTTCCGGTAAGAGCTGGCTTTTCAAATATGTACTTTAGAGGATCCATTCTTGCTATTAACCACGTAGTGTGGGTCAACATATATTGTCTCAACCTCTTGGTAGCCCAAGCCAATGCACAATAAGTTTTCTCGAGGAGTGAGTACCTAGTTTCGCAGACCATGAATTTCTTGCTGAGGTAATAAATTGCATGCTCCTTTCTACATGTTTCATCCTACTGTCCCAAAACACAACCCATTGACCCTAAATTGTTTCTTCATTTCATTATTATTGGAGCAACTAAGGCAATTAACACCAATATGATTATTGACCAATTGAACTTCAATTCTTTCTTCAATAATTTCATCTTCATCCTTATTCCTTCTTCTTTCGTGATAGACTCTTTAGGCATCTGCTTCTCATCATTCAAATTCTGCAGTAATGACAAAGTCACTTCCTTTGCCCTTAGGTTCATTTCCTCATCCAATCAGACAAAGTTGCTGCACTTTTTGAAATCTTGGAGCTGCATCAATGGAGATGAACGAAATTTCAAAACTTGTAATTAAACGCCAGCAACAGAATAAACATAAAGGATATGATACCTTGTACATCCCACAACCATAGAAACAACGTACTGAGTTTGAATCAGTACATGCCGTCATCAACGGAGCATCGAGAAAGCAATGACATTGGTTCCTCAACGAACGATTCTTGTAGCTAGTATTAGACAAATATTTTTGAGACATTTTTGAATGTGTAAAAGGAAGAAAGTGATGAAGGATACGTTCAGGCAATTTTCAGAAGGAATTAGGAATGAAGAAGACGATTCCAAACTCTAGGATTCATACAATATTTAACAGCTGAATAATCATAATTAAAAAATATTTTTAAAAAAATAAAAATAATTTTTTAATATTTAAAATGAAATTCTAAAAATAAAAATTAAACATATCTGACGTGGCTGCACAAATTCTTTATCACATCAATAATGAAGTAATGAAGCAGTTAGATGGAAGGGACTAGAAAAATCTCAACTAAAGTAAAATTTAAAGACTTGAAAGTTGATTTCTAAAATGAATAGTCTGAAATTTTAAATAGTTAAAAATAAAGAAATCAAAAATGCATTATCCCTTTATTTTATTATTTTTAAAAGTAATGTCTAGGACTTATAGCAATTATTTTTAAAATTTTAACATTTCCAAAACTAAGATGTTATTGTGTAGCTACTTCAAACACTTAAAAAAACATGAAGAAGCAAACATTAACATTACTATAATTTAGTAGTAGTATATATGAAATAGTTAAGTGCGTCGGCAGATGGGTCCAAAATCCAAAACTAGATATGGACATAGTTCATAGCTATAGTTATATTGAACAAAATCTTGATCTTCAACATTTTCAATACACCAAAATCTTGTACCTCCAGCTTTCTTGCTGTAGTATCTGACTTTTTCTTCTTCTACTAATTAATACTAATGAAAAAAAAATAGGAGTTTATTATTGATTCCCATAGATTGGGATTGATGGGGTCAACCCTCTCTTTAAAGGTGAAGATCATGGTCATGACAGCTTAGATAAGTGAGAATTTAATGCTAAGTGCTCTTTAAAAACAGCTAGGTATGTAACATTATTAGTATTAAAATAATATAGCATTTATGCCAAGTTGATTGTACTTTACTATAAAGTTTTTTCTTTGGATTATGCAATAAGGCAACTCCAATATATATTGGCTTGTGTGACCTATTTGTTTTTAAAAAAATGGCAACTAAGTATACTCAATTTAATACATTTTCAAAGTCCATCAAGATAGACTGGCATCGCAGCCCACAACCTGGAGTAAATCTATGACTTTGAAACAGCCATATTTAAAAAAAATATATTACTATTTGATTTATTGACTTTCTTATTTAAATATTGAATATACTAACACGTTAAATATTCGAATTTAAGATTGAGAAAGACTATAATAAATAGAACATCGTCTTTTTTAAAAAAATTTAACAAGATTATCAAAAATTGAGCTCAAATTTAAAACATATATTTAAGTTGAAAGAGATTTCTTACTATTTCGACTACATTCTTTTTGATATATTTATTTCTTTCTGCTTCATATATTTATCTATTTATTATATGAAAAAGAAAAATAATGTAATTAAATTTAATATTTTTATTCTTCTAGTTGAGCATCATTCTAAAATATTAGATGAAGACGTGTGAAGTTAAATAGTCGAAGTCTCCAATGTTATTGGCTGTCATTGATAGTCGTATATATGATGCAAATGACTTGAATCTTACTAAAGATTTTTAAGCCATCATTAGTCCAAGCAAATGCACCTTCCCATGAAGGTGTACGTGGACTGGAAATATATTAACATTCACATTAAAAAAAACTGTCCTCTTTATGTTCTAAAAAACTACTTTGAAAAAATATATTCAATTATTTCAATATGATGACTAGAAACAAAATATAAATAACACTTCAAAAAATGACAGTAATTATATTCAATTATTGATAGAAAAATCATTATAACACATTAGATTACATTAATAAGCCACCAAGAAAATCATAGACAGAAAATGAATCCCAAAAAAGTCAAAGTCCAATACAATTTCTTGAGGAAGTAACTCCACCATCAACTACAAGATTATGACCACTAACATACCTAGATTCATCACTAGCAAGATAAAGAACAGCTTCAGCTATATCTTGAACCCTTAAAGTTGTTCCTCTCAAATTACCAATCCCTCGAACAAATTCCTCCATTTTCTCAACTTCTTCAACTAAAGGCAATCCAGAATTAATTCCACCATCATGATCATCAACTTCATCATCACTTTTTCTCCAAGCATTCACAAGCATAGATGTTGCAACACCAAATGGTGAAACACAATTAACCCTAATCCCATATTTTCCCAATTCACAAGAAGCGTTCTTTGTTAATCCAACTATAGCATGCTTTGAAGCTGTATAAACATGTGGACCAAGTCCTCCTGAAATTCCAGCTACACTAGCTGAAGATATTATGCAACCAAATCCTCTAGGAATCATCACTCTTGCTGCATGTTTCATCCCTAAAGCTACTCCTTTAACATTAACACTCATGACTCGGTCGAATTCGTCCGGGTCGAAGTTCACAATGCTTTTGTTCTTGGATTGGTTTCCAAGAACGCCTGCATTGTTGAACATGATGTCGAGTTTTCCGTAGTGAGAAACCGTGGAAGTCACTAAGTTTTCTACATCTTTTTCAATGCTAACATCACAATGGATGTAGGTGGTTGAAGGAGAGAGTGAATTCGCAAGGATTGTTCCAAGTTCATCTTCAACATCAGCAATTACTACTTTTGCACCATGTTTCACAAAAATTCTCACTGTGCCTTCTCCAATTCCTCTGGCTCCTCCTGTAACAATAGCAACTTTTCCTTCCAACCTATTACAATATCAAATATTTAATAAAACCATGTTTCATAAAAAAAATTGAGATGAATATTTAACAAATAAGTGAAAAGAGAAAAAGCTACCTTTTAGAGGAAGGAGGAGAAAATGTGGTGTCAGTAGAATGCATAGGAAGTTCATGAATGGGTTTTTCAGACATGACACCCATGGTTGAGTTGAGAAGGAGCAAAGGAAGAGAAGGATATGAAGAAGAAAGGTTTGATGAATGCCAAGCATGGGAGTTACAATAGCCTATTTATATATATTTGGTTTGAACATAATGGTATCTAATAAATTAGAATAGTACCATTTGACTCAAAAAAGGAAAGAATGATACGCGTATCTTTCTATATTTTTTTATTTTTTGAAACATGGATCTCACATTACCTTATACTTTTCTAATACTATTCTTTTTAATGACTCATTATACATTTTTTAATAGTCAAGAACCAATTCTTAAGGAAAAATAATTTTTATTTATGGATTATATATCTGAAAATAATGCATCCGTAATATATATATATATATATATATATATATATATATATATATATATATATATATATATATATATATATATATATATATATATATATATATATATATATATATATATATATATATATATATATATATATATATAATGATTTTTGAGCTTTCATGTAGTCATGTGACATAATAGCATCCCTAAAGATTGCTTTAACAAGATTAATGACTAACTGATGAGCATCGCATAATTAGATGTTTTAAGGTTGTTAAAGCCAACAATACGTCCCCACGTGGTCGTCCACCAAGAAGGTCATCGATGGGTATTAATGAAAAAATTTAGGTGTATTTTTTTAAGTGTGATTTATATTTTTTTTAAATAAAAATATGATAAGTGTATAATTTCTTTTTATATATATGAAATTTCTTCTTATTTTTACTTCCTAAAAGATATTTAAGTATATTTATCATGTTTTTATTGAAGAAAAATATGAACCACATCTATAGAATTATATCTAAATTTTCTTCGAGTATTAATGATTTTTTGAGCCATTGGGCCGTTGATCCGTCTAGACTCGACAAGTCCAAAAAGTTTATGGATTTTAAATCACTTTCATGTGATTTAGATTGGACTTAAAGAATTATTTCTCCCTAATGAAGTCTTCCTTTTCACACTTTCCTCCTTATGTAGACGACACCACGTCTCATTTTTGCACCTCTTGGGTCCAATCTGAATTCGATCGAATTTAATGTTGATGCTTCTCCTCCAAACTTGGTTACTTTGGATTCAAATATTGGCTAGAATGGTTTCTTCCTCGCCCGAAAGTGAGTTGTCTATCTTTTATACGAAGTGTACTTTAGATTTCATATTTTGTCTGCTTTAGCTTCTCAAATGTCAGATTTAGGTGTCGAATATATACCGGAGCAAATACCTCATTTTCTCACCATTCCCCAACCGATCTCAGGAATTGCTAGCTAGACCTTCTATTGCATCGGGTTTTCTCACGTTGTGTGCTTCTATTATCTTATAATTGCATGATAGTATTCCAATGCCTACTTTAGAGAAAGACTTGGATACCCGAACACTTATCTTGTTTGTTAGTCTTAGAGATACTTCTTTTCTAAATGTTACTCATTTGGACGTCCTGTTTTGATTCCTTCTAAGTTTTTTTAGTGTCCTGATATCATTGATAACAAACTGACTTTGAAACTTATTAAGTTAGACAAGCATTTGGGTTATTTCTTTAAGTTGAGTGATGAAGCTGAAGTATCTAGATTAGTAAAACTGGAGAAAAGAGAACGCCAACAAAAGATTGCGTGAATGACTATGAGTCATTCTTATTGATGATATGATCCTTTAATGTATGTGGTCTCGGTAGAAAGGGTCAACAAGTTCATTATTGATATCCAAAAATATAAGCTTAATGTCGTTTTAGCCCCTTTTGGTTGTTTTATCTCTGGTGTAATTCTTTTTTTGATTGAGGATTTATTTTTGCCATTGGTAACAGTGATGGTCTTCTCTCTATTTTGTGTAGCAGTAAAGGGTTATGTAAGTTCTCTTTTTCAGATTTAGAATTTTTAGGTATTTTATTGAATGGGGGGCTTCCAAGGCCCAATTCTTTCTAGGCAATATGTATTTGAAGTGCTCTTCTCCTAAGAAAAGAGAGATGAGGGAGGATATTTGTCCCGTGAAAAAGGCGTCTAAGGGGTCATGTTTGATGTGTTCTCACCGATATTAACTCTATTTTCCAATCCCCTAAGAGAATTGGTGTTGGTCGTCGCATTTGACCTTATAGCTATGTGGATTGTATTCGATTTTCTAATTTCATCTCTTAGATGGACCATAATGATCTTCTTCCGTGAGGGAGGAATTTTAATTGGTTTCAATCTAATGGTGGGGTTGTGAGTATGTTAGATAAGATTCTTGTGTCTGAGACCTTGTTATATGTTTGGGGCCCTTTGACATAGTGGGTGCTTCATAATGGTATTTCATATCTTTATCCCATTATTCTTCGTTATGAGAATCGGTGTTGTGCTTAAGGAGATACTTAAACCCCTGAAATGGTGTTGAAAGTTATGAATAAGGAAGTTTTTTGTAACCTAGTTCATAAAATTGATACCTTAAGATAAGATACAAAGGTTTTCTACCTAAATATGAATCAAGGTGTCATTCAGGATTTAGAGCTTATGGAAAGATTGAAGGCCATTTATGTTCTCTAGTTTTTGCTCATTATTAGATAGTCCCTTTTGTTACGAATATCTAAGGCTAAATGATTAAAGGAATGGAATATAATATGAGTTTGTTTCATGCTCGTGTTAAGACTAGTTAGAGAATGAAATGTATCTTGACGCTTCAAGTAGGGGAGTCTTGGTTGGGCGTGGTGGCTGAGATTAGACATGAGGTGACTAGGTTATTCACTCACCAATTTTTGGAACCTTTGTGTGGTCATCCTTAATTGGATGGGGTGATTTTAACTTTTCACTCGTTTGAGGATAATAATGGCCTCTTCTCACCTTTCCTCCTTGAAGAAATAGACCTTGCAGTCTCCTAGTGTGAAGGAAATAATAGTTTGGACCTTGATTTTCCTCTCCTTAAGGTGGACCTAATGTCCATGTTTGAGCAATTTCATTGTACAACGTCTCTTCCCCATAACTTCTAATCCTACTTTGTCACTTTTATCCCTAAGGTGGACTCACCTACAAGTTTAAGGGATTTGCATCTTATTTCCTCGGTCAGTTCTCTATATAAGTTGGTGGGGATGTGTTGGTCTCTAGACTAATAAATGTTATGGGTAAGTTAATTTTCCCTAATCAACCAGCTTTCGTGAAAGTTTGGCTCTTCATTGATGGCGTGGTAATTGTTAATGAGTTGATTAACCTTTCTAAAAATACTAAGAAGGATTTTCTTATCTTTAAGGTGGATTTTGAAAAGGCTTACAACGTGGTCAGCTGGAGTTTCTTGGACTATATGATATCTAGGTTTGGTTTCTTTGATAAATGGAGTGCTTAGATGTGTACTTGTGTTTTCTCTGAGAAACTGGCTTTCTTGGTCAATGGGTCACCAACTAAAGAGATTAGTATCCATAGGGTCTTAAAGCAAGAAGACCCTCTTGCCCCAAATTCTACCCGGTAGTTATAATGAAAATCAGAGTATTTAAAAGCTTCCAACACATTTAGGATATCACATTTCAATATGTTACAACACATAAACAGATACATAACACTTTAATTTTGGAGGATCATATAACAACTTGCATCAACTTTTAAAATAAAACCACTTCTTTTATTAATAACGCAACAAAATCATAATTACAACTTCAAGTAGCATCATATGTTTCGTTCAACTAAAACAACTTGAGAGGCAACATATTATTTCATAAAATTCAACTTAGGATTCAATGACTAAAAAAATTTCTTCATACTTATAAAATCACCACTTCATACTTATAAATTTCTTCATACTTATAAATTAATATATTATATCAGATCATATAAAATCACCACTTCATACTTATACACAACAACCATTACAACAAAGCCTCAACACGGCAGAACGACTAATTCACAACTTTTAAATAATACCCGTCACAATAAGTCAACAACATAAAGCAACAACACATCTATCTTCATCACGACTCAAGATGCAACATCAAATGCGACTCAATTACAATGCACATGCATGTGGTACCATGGGAGCAGAACTCCCAACCTTAAAAATTTGCCAATTAATAGAGGCAGCAACAAGGTATAAGCCTTCAACTTAGTATTTTGTCAATCCAGGACAACATGGTGCCAATCCAGGCCAACGTGGTGCCAATCCAGGCCATTTCAATAATGCAAATGTATGTGACTCAATGAATGCAACAATCACATACAACAGCAACAATCACCGTCACAAAGGCATACGCCCATATCGTCACTTTACTAATAATTAGAGGTACTCATCGTCGCTTCAACACTGGCCATAGGCCTACAACTTAATCAACTTATCAATCACAACATATAAACAACGACATATTCGATGTATTCGACAATCACAACAACACAACATCTCAACATTAGCCATAGGCCTACAACTTTACATTATCAATAAATGAAGGCAACATAACGACAACAACAACAAAATTAATAACAACATAAACACAACTATTCAACTTTGGCGATAAGCCCACAAATTGATTTTTGCCAATATTTAGAGGCAATGCAACAAAATTCACCACCTGCAACTTCATAATTAACCACAACAATTGTTTCATATAATTATTCAGACAAATCGACCAAATCATACAAATTAATTAATTCTCCACTGTTATTTTATTACTAATAACCTTCTATTACTAATTCACATCTTAGTCCCTACCTTACAACAACTTATACAATCCGCCCTCTCAACCGTAATATTTTACAAACATTCCACGTAATTATTCGGACAATTCAACTATATTCGGCTAAATAATCCTCTACTAAAATTTCTAGTAATTCAACTCTGTACTGTTACTAAATTTCCATACTATTAACATATATTAATTACTATGTCTCTGCTATATGTAATATTACTTCTCTACTAATTTAGTAAATCTACTGTTCTTATTACTACTAAATTTCTACACTGTTAACATCTAACCATTCACTAAGTATTTCTGCAACCAAAACCATGACTGCTATTTTATTTATCTTTACTGT